GAGGGGGAAAGAACCCTCCATTATTTGCAGAATTACTACAATGCTTCAATTGTGTGAATTTGGCAGCTTAAGACATTTCACTTCGAGGGCCACATCTGTAGACGATAACCAGACAATGGCTTCAAAAGAGCTTGTTTTATAAACCCCCAGAAGTTATACAGAACATGCCACTTGAAAGAATCGCCTATTCTGGGAGGACACTCAAGATCAAAGAGATTTTTTTCTTCTTTACTAGCATCTATAATTAAAGACCTAATCCTTTATTTCAAGCAAGAAAAGGATTCCCTTTATTGAATTAGTTGTTTTCCTTCTTAAAATCAAAAAATAAAAAAACCCAAAAACAACAATAACAACAACAACAACAAAATAATAAATAAATAAAATCCAAAGGTTGACATCATGTTTTTGGGTGGAATTTTGAATTAATTAGCTTGGGTCATTCTTTGATTTTGATATATTTAAAATGTTAGCCAAATGCAGGAAGGCAAACCATATTTTAAGAGAGCATGGGGCCAGGTGCAGTGGCTCATGCCTGTCATCTGAGCACTTTGGGAGGCCGAGGTGGGTGGATCATCTGAGGTCAGGAGTTCAAGACCAGCCTGACCAACATGGTGAAACCCCGTCTCTACTAAAAATACAAAAATTAGCTGGGCGTGGTGGCGAATGCCTGTAATCCCAGTTACTTGGGAGGCTGAGCAGGGGAATCGCTTGAACCTGGGAGGCGGAGATTGCAGTGAGCTGAGATTGCACCATTGCACTCCAGCCTAGGCGAGAAGAGCAAAACTCTGTCTCAAAATAAATAAATAAATAAATGAAAAAGAGGGCACAGTCACAGTGGCTCACGCCTGTAATCCCAGTACTTTGGGATGCCAAGGTGGGTGGATCACCTGAGGTCAGGAGTTCGAGACTAGCCTGGCCAACATGGTGAAACCCCATCTCTACTGAAAATACAAAAAATTAGCAGGGCATGGTGGCAGGCACCTGTAATCCCAGCTACCCAGGAGGCTGGGGCAGGAGAATTGCTTGAACCCGGGAGGTGGAGTTAGCAGTGAACAGAGATCATGCCACTACTCTCCAGCCCTCCACTACACTCCACACAGTGAGACTTTGTCTCAAAAAAAAAAAAAAAGAGCACATCATTTAGAATTACTTCATCCAAAAAAGTTCTTGTCAGGAGCCTCCTCTGGGAGATTCCTGATGGCTTTGTGTCACACGAATGCCATTTGTGAAAACCTGTGTGGATTATTGCCAGAGTTTATTCTTAGGGACTCTTAATGTTCCAAAGACCCACAAGTATATCAATTGTAGAAAAATATCTAGAGAGGCTGAGTGCAGTGTGGTGCACGTCTATCATTCCAGTACTTTGGGAGGCCTACGCAGGAGGATTGCTTGAGCCTAGGAGTTTGAGACCAGCCTGGACAACTTAGCGAGACCTCCTTTCCACTAAAAAGAAAAAACAATTAGCCAGGTGTGGTGGCGCATGCCTGTAGCCCCAGCTAATTGGGAGGCTGAGGTGGGAGAATCACTTGAGCCCAGGAGGTTGAGGCTGCAGTGAGCCATGATTGTGCAACTGTACTCCAGTCTGGGTGACAGAGCAAAGTAAAACAAACAAACAAATCTAAAGCGTAGTAGAAGAACTTCTTGGCTTATGATTGCCAGCGTCAGAACACTTTGGGTTATTCCTTAACCATAACTGACACTACCATCTCAAAATCTGACCCACTGCCGGGTCAAGGATTGCTGTTATAAAGGAGGATACTCTGTAAACTCCCTTCCTTCATTAAAAATAAATCCTGAATAGAAGTCTGGCAAGAAGAGGTTGTGATGTTGAAAAGAAATAAAAATGTTTTTTGGCTGGAAGTTCTTAACATACTTAGCTGAAGGCTGATAAGGACCTTTGGATCGTTCCCAACCACTGATTTTTTTCCACTATCAAAAAAAAAAAAGTCGGCTGGGCGAAGTGGCTCATGCCTGTAATCCCAGTACTTTGGGAGACTGAGGTGGGCGGATCACCTGAGATCGGGAGTTCAAGACCAGCCTGGCCAATATGGAGAAACCCCGTCTCTAGTTAAAAATACACAATTAGCTGGGCATGGTGGCAGATGCCTGTAATCCCAGCTATTCAGGAGGCTGAGACAGGAGAATCGCTTGAATCCAGGAGGCGGAGGTTGCAGTGAATCTAGATTGTGCCATTGCACTCCAGCCTGGGCGACAAGAGCGAAACTCCAGCTCAAAAAAAAAAAAAAAAAAAAAAAAAAAAAAAAAAAAAAAAAGCCGAAAGCCACCAATGACGAATGAAATGTAATTCAGTTTATTCCAGAGGATGAAAGGGATTGATTCCTCCTGGGATTTGAACCTGTCACTCTTCAGAAGTCTAGGTATTTTGCCCTAATCATGAGGATTACAAAATTTTTCAAATAGATGGGCATTTTGTTTTTCCACACGTCAAAAACACTATGTCCAGATTTAGTGTGTTTTTTATTTCTTGAAATGAGTTTTGCCCAAATCCGATCCAAGCATCATCACTGAATGGTAAAGTGCACAGAAGGAACGAAAGAGAACACTCATCACAGCAGTTTTTGAATTTCAGTTATTTCACCTTCCACCAAAAATGTCCTGGATGGCTTAGCTGATTAAGAGTATTACCAGGAGATGGTTTTAATCTACTCAATGACCTGTTTACTTTGCTTAGCTCTGTTCCATGCGGGCCACAAGTACACCTCTCTCGAACTTACGTTTCTAAATAAAGGTGGACCGAGTAATAAAGCATAAACGAAACCATCTCCAATGACAGGAAGATACAACAAGAACTGCTTGCCATGGAAAAGGGACATTTCCACCACCACAGAACTTAAAGGCATTTCATTTAGTCTCTTTTTTTTTTTTTTGAGATGGAGTCTTGCTCTGTTGCCCAGGCTGGAGTGCAATAGTGCAATCTTTGCTCACTGCAATCTCTGCCTCCTGGGTTCAGGTGATTCTCCTGCCTCCGCCTCTTGAGTATCTGGGATTACAGGTACATCATGCCCAGGTAAGTTTTGTATTTTTAGGAGGGATGGGGTTTCACCATGTTGGCCAGGCTGGCCTCGAACTCCTGATCTCAAGTGATCCACCTGCCTTAGTCTCCCAAAGTGCTGGGATTACAGGCATGAGCCACTGCACGCGGCTCATTGAGTCTTTTCGTTCATTCTTTCCATGTGATCAGTGCTGACATCACAAAAAGAAATCAGTAACAGCCTCCACCCAAAAGGAAATTGGTAAGCAAAGAACAGCAGTTACAATGCAAGTCCTGTAACTGAGGTATGCAGAGACAGACACCTGGGAAGGCAGGAGGGACTGTGCGCAGAAGAGGATGTCGAGGTGTCAGGAGCTGAAGGGCAGAGTGGATGTCATTTTGAACAGCAAATGGCAGAGTAGTGAAGTAATGCAAATTAAAAGACCAACACGAGCCACTTCATACACTATTGTTGTTTTTTTGTTGTTTTTTGAGATGAAGCCTCAGCTGTCGCCTGGCTGGAGTGCAATGGCACCATCTCAGTTCACTGCAACCTCTGCCTCCTGGGTTCAAGCGATTTTTGTGCCTCAACGCCCTGAGTAGCTGGGATTACAGGCATGCACCACTACACCCAGCTAATTTTTGTATTTCTAGTTAGAGGCGGGGTTTCACCATGTGGCCAGACTAGTCTCAATCTCCTGACCTCAAGTGATCCGCCCACCTCTGCCTCCCAAAGTGCTTGGATTACAGGCGTGAGCCACCACATCTGGCCTATTATTCTTGTTTTAACAAAGGAGGGACTATCAGGCATTTGGAAATCTCTAATGAAGGTAGTCATAAAACTGAACCAACTTTTTTTTTTTTAATCTTACTGCTCATTTCTGTTGTTGAAGAAAAACAGATCCTACAACGAAACTGGAAAGAGAACAGCTTTAGAATTTTAAGTCTCAGTGACAGAGGATCTTCTCCCTGTAAGACATAGAGATGTGGCTTCAACGAACTAAGCACATAGTGCATGTTTCAAGTTTATGTAAGAGAAAACAGCGTGATAGAAAAGTCTTCTTGGAAACACTGCAATTTTTTTTTTTTTTTAATTATGCAACAGGGTGCCATCACAGCCTCCGTAAAAGAGAAACTAATCATTTGTGGCCAGGCTCGGTGATTCCCGCTTATAATCCCAGCACTTTGGGAAGCCAAGAATTCAAGGCCAGCTTGAGCAATAGCAAGATGTTTCTATTTTAAAAAATAAATAAATAAAAAATTAGGCATGGTGATGTGCACCTCTAGTTCCAGCTACTCAAAAAGTTAAGGCGAGAGGATTGCTTGAGCCTGGGAGTTCAAGCCTACTTTCTGTAGATATATAAAAAACTAGATAGATATAGATATATCGAGAGAGAGAGAAACCAATTAGTTTTAAAGTGAGCATAGGCTGGGCACGGTGGCTCTTACCTGTAATCCTAGCATTTTGAGAGGCAAGCTAATCACCTGAGGTCGGGAGTTCAAGACCATCCTGGCCAACATGGCACAACCCCACCTCTACTAAAAATTAAAAAATTAGCTGGGCATGGTTGCGCATACCTGTAGTCCCAGCTACTTGGGAGGCTGAGACGGGTGGATCACCTATGGTCAGGAGTTTTGAGACCAGCCTGGACAACATGGTGAAACCCCATTTCTACTAAAAATACAAAATTTACCTAGGCATGGTGATGGGTGCCTGTAATCCCACCTACACAAGAGAATTGCTTGAACCTGGGAGTCAGGGATTGCAGTGAGCCAAGATCGCACCACTGCACTCCAGCCTGGATAACAAGAGCAAAACTCTGTCAAAACAAAACAAAACACAAACCAAACCACACCAAACAGATTCCTTCTAAATCCCAGTCAAATGTTAAACCAGACCTGGTAAAACAAAACTTTGTATGTCAGTGAGACACCATCGCCACCTTGTGTTCAACAGCTTTCATTACATTCATACTTACTGCAAATGATCACAGGAGGCACTCAGCAATTACAGAATATAGCTTTATTTATAGAATCTTACAAATATAACATTTACAGTCCAGATAAGTTAATTTTATTTTCTAATTTCTTCTCATAATACCTGAGTTGTTTAAAAAAATACTGTGATGGAATTGCAGAACTGTAAAGGGAAATATGAACAATAAAATCCTAACCTCTCGCAAAAATCAGACAACTATTTATAAAGCAGATGCTCCACATGTTGCCATCTGTTTGGAAGAAGACTTACTATAATCAGTTCATAATTAGTTCTTACGCTACCCAAACAGAGAAGCCTTTTTAAAACCCAAGGTTAAGGACCAATGAAGCACAGCTCCAATTTGACACTAGACACAAAATACCTTTGGGGGCAAAGACAGGGCAAGTTGCGTGTCAGTGGTGAGGGGAGCAGGAGCAGAACTCCTGTCCCTGCCTCACCGTTCCTGCATCTGACATACACTTTCTTTGCTAATTTCTTAATAGGAGCTGGTGCATCTGGGTGAAAAAGTTCTCCCAACCAACGACTTGCTACTCCTTAGACTTCTACTATGTACAAATACTTAAAACAGCAAATTCAACACCTAAAAAGCAAAATAAATTGCCCCATTTTTGACTTATGAGGCACAGCGGTTGCCACAATCAGTGGCAACTCAAGTCCGATGATGTGAGCGTCTCCACCTCTCCTAAGCTCCAACTAGAACCAACCTCTGCGCCAATTACAGTTTAAAGAGGATTTCCCTTAGAGGAAGCTGTCTGTCAAAGGAAATTTCTTTAGGTAATATAGGTGCGCACAGAAAGGGAAAGCACACTATTTCATATTTCATTTTTCAATTTGTTAAAGATTATAGCTTTGAGCTCCTCTTCTAAACTAGAAATCCACTAACTCTAACTTAGTATTCTACCCCAAGACAAAGGGAATTATGTTTAAGGAATGGCGGGGTCTACTGGGAATGCTAAAATTACAAATGTAAAACATCAGTGCGACTTAGGTAAAAGCAAAATCTTCCAGAGTCTTACACTTTTGAGTTATTTTCTGCTAGCTCCCAAAGCAGTTTGAGAAAAATAAAACAGAAAAGACGAAGAACCATTTTAAAACAACAACAATATTGACAATACAAAAAGTTAGATTTCAACATTCAAGGAATGGGTTCTTTGGTAAAACTGGACCATAACCCTACCAGGAGTCAGTCCTGATATTTGATCTAGAATCTCCATCACTGAAATCTTCCTTCTTCAGCATATTCTCAAATGTATTGAAGCCAACAGGCAAAATAAGAAAAAAACTTAAAAAGTATCATCAGCAGTTTTCCTGCTCATGCTCTTTTTAAGAATATTCCTGGTTTGAGAGATGTCTCCCAAGAAGAGAAAACAAAATCGATGCTGCTTGTGATTACTGAGAGTGGACAGCTTTTCTGTGTGAGAAGAGAAAAACTCAGGCATTGGTAGTGAACCAGTACTCCTGCCAGCCATGCACGTGAATCAGTTTGCAAACATGGCCCCTGAGCTACAACTGCGGGCACCACGAAGAAAGGCTTCTGGAGAGACAGGCTCCCCAAAGTGGCTGAAGAATCTCACATTATCAATATGATAATAATAAATCAATTCACCTAGTGAACCTGGAGATGAGCTCCCCTGGAAGCCAGCGCTCGGAGGCAAGGGCTCCACAGTGCCAGAGGCTGGCCTACAGTTTTGCAGACAAGTGTCTCCAGCCATTTTCTGAAGAGAGTTAGATCAATTCATATTCAATTCAATACAGGATTCGACTTTTTTTTTTTTTTTTTTTTGGCAAGGAAACAGTAACCTAGACAGGTCATTAAAAACCATGTGCAGCATAATCATTAGGCCCGCCATTCTGCAAACATCTGTGATGCCCTAAGTGAAGTCAGTGACCTTACATTTCAGAGACCCCTGTTAGTCATGCTTTGATTTATGGAAGCAGCAGATCCTAAATTTTGCCTGCACTCATTCCATTTCCGATTACCCCTGTCTAAGTACAGCATAAACGGCACCCCAGTTCTGCAAGTCAGCTTGCCACTCTGCAGACATCTCAACGGGAGGCGGACAGTTTGTGCAGTCTCCCCTCTAACACAAGGTCTCAAATGTGCTCCGAATGTGCTTCTAGGGAAGCAGCTACCAAGTTTCGTAAAAGACGGCAGTGGGGAAGAGGAGGTAAGAATCACAGCCAAACCAACTGTTTTTTTTGCAGACAGCCTGACCCTTTGTTCTATCAGTGTTCATCTAAAAGAGGTCCAGGCAGCCACACCTCCACGTTAGCTCACCTGACAGCCATGAAACACCAGGTGCTGTTACCAAATCAGTAACCGGCCAGGCATGGTGGCTCATGCCTGTAATCCCAGCACTTTGGGAGGCCGAGGCAGGTGGATCATCTGAGGTCATGAGTTCGAGAACATGAGTTTGAGATCATGAGTTTGGGAGGTGAATCATCTGAGGTGATGCATTCGAGACCAACCTGGCCAACATGGTGAAACCCCCTCTCTACTACAAATACAACAACTAGCCAGGCAGATTGGCTCACGCCTGTAATCCCAGCTACTTGGGAGGCTGAGGCAGAAGAATCACTTGAAGACGGGAGGCAGAGGTTGCAGTGGGCTGAGATCGAGCCACTGCACTCCAGTCTGGGTGACAGAGCAAGACTGTCTCAAAGAACAAAAACAAAAAAACAAAACAAAACCAGCATCTCAGTAGGAACAAGTGACCATCTGGACAAGACACAAGCAGTGGTTCGACTTCCTCTCCCTTTCAGGATGAACCCTGCTTCGCCCCTCACCCTGCTCATCTGTTCCGACTTCAGGTTCTCTTTGAGAGAAGTAATAGACAATTAAACAGACTGAAAAAATGGGAAGGCTTCCTGTCTCCTGTCTCTTCTTTCTGTTGGCCAGCTGGAGGTCCAGGGTGCCCAGCTAGAGTCATGGCCCCATGCTATGGATTCACCTCTTGATATTTCTAGCCAAGTTATAACCACTGGCTCTATTTTTGCATTGTTGGATAAAGGATTCAAAACCTTTAAGCACTGGTTCCAAGAGAAGGAGGCCAAGGTAATCAGAGAAAAAAGTCAGGCTTGTCTTACAAGCTGCATTCAGGGTCCAGAGTCACTGAGAGAAAAGGAGATGAGGAGAGGGCAAGAGGCACTAAGCTAGAGGCTGGTAACCAGGGCAGCTTATTCCTAGGATAGAGCATTTTACAAACGGCCGACATTTGAATGCAGGAATACAGTCTGTGTCAGTTTTGAATGGAAAGGCCTCTTCTGTGATGCTTTTGGGACGCTGAGTCCTCGGGCTGGGGATCGGGCAGCCCAGGGCCCGACTTCCGGTCCCACAGGCTCTTGGCAGGGCCCTACCCAATCTGGATCTGTCCTGAATACATGGTGAGGACCAGCATGATGGTGAATCCAGTCAAGAGGCCCAGGTTCTGGATGACAAAGGGAATCAAGATGCTGCCTTTCCTTTCATCCTCTTGGCAGACCTCATTCATCTCAGGGAACTGAGAAAGAAGCGAGAAACAAACAAACAAACAAAAAAAGAAACAAACAAATAAATAAATACATAACTTTTTTTAAAAAAAGAAGCGAGAAACAATATAGCTGCAAATTCCTTCCTTAATCTTGTAAGCCCAGGGCAATTCAGTGATGGAGACATAGATCAGGTTGGTTTGACAAAGAAAATTAACAGGGCCAGGAGCAGTGGCTCACTAATCCCAGCACTTTGGGAGGCTGAGATGGATCTGAGGCGGGTGGATCACCTGAGGTCAGGAGTCCAGGACCAACCTGACCAACATGGCAAAACCCTGTCTCTACTAAAATACAAAAAAATTAGCCAGGCATGGTGGTGGGTGCCTGTAATTCCAACTACTTGGGAGGCTGAGGCAGGAGAATTGCTTGAACCTGGGAGGAGGAGGTTGTGGTGAGCCAAGCTTCATACCACTGCACTCCAGCCTGGGCAATAGAGCAAGACTCTGTCTCAAAAAAAAAAAATTAGCTGGGCATATTAGTGCACACCTATAGTCCCAGCTACTTGGGAGGCTGAGGCAGGAGAAGGAGAATAGCTTGAACCCGGCACACAGTGAGTGGAGATACCACCACTGAACTCCTGCCGGGACAACAGAGCAAGCCTCCATCTCAAAAACAAAATTAAAAAAAAAAAAGAAAATTAACAATAGCAGGTACCATGTCTTTCCAACAATGTAGACAAAACGAAGTATTCAATATGTATGTGGCTCTGGAGTTCAGAGGTTGGCTAAACATAAATGTACTCTGATTAAAAAATAAACTTTTTATTCTAGACTTCTTTTTCCCTTCTTGAGACAGGGTCTCACTCTGTTGCCCAGGCTCGAGTGCACTGGTGTGGTCATAGCGCACTGCAGCCTTGAACTCCTGCTCTCGAGTAATCATCCCACTTCTGTGGGGTGGAGTAGCTCCACAGCTGCCTGCCACCATGCCTGGCCTTCCTGTGGACTTTAAATACTTGAAGAGGTCTTTTTTACTACCAAGATGTTATAAACAGGTTAGATGCAGTGGCTCACACCTATAATCCCAGCACTTTGGGAGGCTGAGATAGGAGGATCCCTTGAGGCCAGAAGTTCAAGATCAGCCTAGGCAACACAGAGTGTCCATTCAATAAAAATTCAAAACATTAGCGGGGCATGGTAGCTGGAGCCTGTAGTCCTAGCTGCTTGGGAGACTGAGGGAGGAGGATCACTGGAGCTCTTAAGTTCAAGGTTGCAGTGACCTATGATCACACACTGCACTCCAGGCTGGGGAAGAATGGGGATCTGTCTAAAAAATAAAATTAAAAATTAAAGAAAAAGATATGCCCTTATCCACCATGATCAAGTAGGATTCAATCCGGGGATGCAAAAATAAAAATAAAGAAAAAAAAAGATATGCCCTATGCATTGAAATAAAAAAGGAAACAAACCCAAGTGTTGCTATTATTGTTCTAGGGGTAGTATAATAACGGGTAATTTTCTTTTCTTCCTGCCCTCTCTTATCTGTATACAGCTATTCTATAAGAATTAAATAAAGGCCATAGATTGAGTATAATCATTTTCCTTAACGACATATGCTAACAAAAACATAAATTTTCCTCCTTTAAAATCTAATGCCCCCTTAAAAACCACTGAATGGTAGGTACACCTTAAACAGACGAATTCTGTGGTGTGTGAAAGAAAGCTAAGAAAACCGTGATTAAAAACAAACTACTGGCCAGACTTGGTGGCTCACGCCTGTAATCCCAGCACTGTGGGAGGCTCGGGGGGTGGATCACCTAAGGTCGGGAGTTCAAGACTAGCCTGGCCAACATGGTGAAACTCTCTCTACTAAAAATACAAAAATTAGCCGTGCGTGGTGGCGCATGTCTGTAATCCCAGCTACTCAGGAGGCTGAGGCAGGTAAATCGCTTGAACCCAGCAGGCGGACGTTGAAGTGAGCCAAGATTGCGCCATTGCACTCCAGCCTGGGAGATAAACCTAGAAAAAAAATACCTACATAACGTCCCCTTAGCTGCCCTCCCATCAGATGAACTATGAAACACTTACCATATCAGCCAAAGAAATATACAAGAACATTCCTCCAGCCAGCGCAAAAATCCAGTTGGCAGAGAAGTGGCTGCCGGCCAGGATGCCAAAGGCCAGACCCAGGTAGCAGCAGCAGGCAGAAAGGAAGTTGAAGAATAGAGCCTGTTGGATGCTCATCCCAGCGTTGAGCAGGATAACAAAGTCTCCTACAGCAGGGAGAAAGAGAAGGGAAGGAATGATGAAAGAAGAGTCAGATGGGCGTGGTGGTGTACACCTGTTAATCCCAGCTACCTGGGAGGCTCAGGTGGGAGGACGGTTTGAGCCCAGGAGTTTGAATCCAGCCTGGCAACAGAGCGAGAGACAGTCATACAAGGTCTTGGGAGACAGAGGGCACTGATGACATCAGGCTGCTAAAAGTGTGGGTGAAAAACAATCTAGACGGCCCTAGACTGAAGACTGAAGCGACAAGACAGGCCCTTGAACTTCCTGTTCAAACCCGTCTCCGTTTGCCAAACTGGCCATGTACCCAGCCTAGAGGCTGAAAATCTTTCCAGGATTTTAAAAATAGATGGCCAGCTGGCACTGGCCTCCTCGTTTCTCTCTGGATTTGTGGTGAAACAGAAGGAACGCCCTTTCTCACAACTACCATGGAAACAAAAGAGAGATCGCAAAAAGTGAAGTGATTTGCCCAAAGCCTCAAGTCAATAACGGCAAAGCCAGAACTTGACCCTCAGTCGCCCCTAAGCCTCTGGACTAATTACTGGCTTTTCACACACTCCCTCTGATCAAACTAAGTCCCTCCTACCCCCTGGTTCATCCACCTGCCAGGCACCTGAGCTTTGGAAGATGAACAGGCTGGAAGAGAGAGCCTCTACTGAGTGCTCAGAATAGCACCTGGCACATGGGAAGTCCCTTTCACCTTTTGTTTTTCTTTAATCCTCACCATAATTCTAAAAGGGGGTGCTCTTACTAACCCCACTGTATAGATGAGAACTGAGCCACTGCATGTGGGGTTAAAAGGAAACAAATAACTTTATAAAAACCCCATCATTTAAAATTATCTATTTATTTTTTTGAGATGGAGTCTTGCTCGGTCACCCAGGCTGGAGTGCAGTGGTACAATCTCAGCTCACTGCAACCTCCACCCTCCCGGGTTCAAGTGATTCTCCTGCCTCAGTCTCCCAAAGTAGCTGGGACTACAGGGGCAAACCACCATGCCCAGCTAATTTTTGTATTTTTAGTAGAGACAGGGTTTCACCATATTGGCCAGGCTGGTCTTGAACTCCTGACCTCATGATCCACCTGCCTCAGCCTCCCAAAGTGCTGGGATTACAGGCGTGAGCCACCACACCTGGCTAAAATTCTCTAACTGTTAAAAAATGGTGATTAGAGTCCATGAAGCTTTGGTGGCATGTTAATCAGTTACAATAAGCACTGAGAAGGCGGGGAGATGGGAGCAAGGAACTGGCCACAGGAAGGGGGTCTGCACCATCACCTGAGGGAGCACCAGTAGAACGGAGGACGCACGCTTACCCAGCTCGTGTGGGAACTCCTCACAGAGGATGGCCACTGAGGTGCTGATGCCTTGGAAAACTGACACAGTGAAGGAGGCACCGATGGCCAGGCCGTCGATGAAATTGTGGAGGCCATCGCTCAGAGTGATCATCCAGGCCAGAGTGCCGATGTCAGAATAGCGGACACCTTTCAGCCAGTAGCAAGCGCTCTGGGATGCCTGCAGGTCCTAGGAGAAAGCACGCATGGAGTCAAAGGCTGGACTACGTGCCTTCAAGGTGAGCCTGAGGCAACCCCTTAGAGGCTCCGCCAAGCAGCGGGTGGCCCACTGACCTGCACAGAGAGAGAGCCCACAACGACCTTCTCATCCACCACAGGCACCTTGCCATCCAGCTCGCTGTTGCAGTGCTGAGGAATCATGTGGTCCAGGTCCCCGTTCTGCAGCTTCTCCATCACCCCCTCCTCCTGGTCCTTCTTGGAGGGAAGCGTCTCGGAGGCATAATGGCTGTGGCCGTGATGATGCTGGAGAGGCAGCAAGGAGAGCTCAGCATGACATTCACCAAAACCACAAACCTGACGGAGCACCTGCTCCAAGGAAGCGCTCCATGCACTGGAAGACCTCAGTCCTACCACTAAAGAGGACACAAGCAGGTCACCTGCTTAGAAATGCTGTAAAAGCTGTTCTATGAAGCCATGGCCAGGCACAGGGGCTCACACCTGTAAATCCCAGCACTGTGGAAGGCCGAGGTTCGAGAACTGCTTGAGCTGAGGAGTTTGAGACCAGCCTGGGCAACAAAGGGAGACCTGTTTCTAAAGCCGTACCAAGTGCGAAGGCCCTGGCGTCAGACAGATATCAAAGCTGCGGCCTCAGGTCAAATGCTTATTCCAGCAAGGCAGCCACTGCTCAAATATTTAGAGCTCCTCTCTTGCAATGGCTTATCTCACTCAATTCAGCAGCTATTTAGGGAATAACTGCGTGCCAGCCACTAAAGATATCTTTCTGAAACTGTATTGTAATAGTCAGTCCTGTTTCTCTGCAGTCATACTTCATACATAATGAATGTATGTTATCAAGCCCTTCTCCCCATCCTGGAAAGATGCAAATATATTAAGGAAAGCATCTAGAACAAAACAAAGGGGATAAACTACTGCCGAGAAGGCACACTGGCCAGATCTAGTTTCTGGTCTGGCCTCACTTCAGGAGGTGAAAAGGGATTATTTCCTCAAGAAATTAGAGTTTCATGAAATTTTTGATACTGAGCTAACACCATCACCACCACAATACATCGACATTTTCCTGAGATGGGTGCTTTCCCTAGAAGAGCTTCCTTCAGCAACAACTGCGCCTTACCTCATTTTTCTGCTTAAGAAGAATCTTCAAGATCTTCTCTGTGAAAAAGAAAAGATAAAAGCCCCCAAACACCACTGCAGACTTGGAGACATAATAATCTTCCAGAGGGTTGAAACCAAAAGCCTGTGGACCCAGGAAAACAAAATGAGTTTTTAAGAAGATAAAGCGTCTTCGCTGGTCCCCCTCCTATCTCTTAACTACTTCCTTGACTCTAGGAGAGGAGACAGACGTACTGGAGGAATTCTGCCATCTACCCATCCTCTTTCCAGCAAAAATCTAGTCCTGGTGTTTCCCTGATTTGATATCACCAAACCCGCGAGGTTCTTCTCAAGTTTATTTGCTGACGCAAAAGACTGATCATCTGTAGAATTTTAATTCCAGAAAGAACAGCCTCCAATACGGTTTTCTACTTTTGATTTCTCTTGGTGCTTTGCTGTGAAGGCATTCTCTGCCAGCAGATTTCATATTGAAGGAGCAGACACTTGTATTTATTTTCATCTTATCTAGTGTTCCTGGCTGACCTGCCTGTAAACACAAAGGGAGATGGGTAATTATACTTTCTAAAATGGGAAACCCATTTCTCAGTTAAATAATAAGAACTGCAGCGTCTTCCTGTCCGCAGACCTCCCAGTGACCACAGAACCAAGAAAACAGACTGTGTTACTGCGAGCATCAATTTTTGGGTTTTGAGTCCTTTCTGCAACTGTCACTTACTGAAGAGGGAGGGAAGAATCCATTGGGAAGAGGATAGGAGTCGAAATCAAGAGAATTCTGTCCTAGGTTAAGCTCCTGATTTATGGTGTGTTCTTGTGAAAGTGTCTAATGACCTGGCCGGGTGCGGTGGCTCATGCACTTTGGAGGACAGAGGTGGGTGGGTAACTTGAAGCCAGGAGTTTGAGACTAGCCTGGCCAAGATGGTGAAACCCCATCTCTACTAAAACAAAAAACAAAAATTAGCTGGGTGTGGTGGTGCACCTGTAATCCCAGCTACCCTGGAGGCTGAGGCAGGAGAATGGCTTGAACCCAGGAGGCAGAGATTGTAGGGAGCCGAGATGGTACCACTGCACTCCAGCCTAGGTGACAGAATGAGACTCTTTCTCAAAAACAAAAAAGTATCTAACGATTTGCTCCTCTGTTTATTTTATTTTTTTAAATGTTTATGGGTGCATAGGAGGTATATATATTTATGGGGTTGTTCCTCTGTTTTCTGATGGGAAACAGGCCTTGAATGAACTCCCACCCTCTCATGAATTGGTCCAAAATAAAAGTTGATCCCAACTTCAAGCAACTCTGGGCTGTCTGTTGCCTTTATGTTTTAAAGGGGCCAAATTCAATCACTACCTTCCAGAGAAGCAACACTTTGGTGTTGACTTTCCAAGGGAGTCAAATCATCCAGGGGAAAAGTGAAGTGAAAATAGACAACTAACACCTCTCTGCAAAAAGCCACAAAGGATGGTAAAGACAAAATCACGACTTGAGCTTCAGAAATTCCAAAAGCTGGGTTCTCGGCTCAGGGATATATGCTCTTGTGCAGGTCAGATTCCAATGGGTAAAACTACTTGTTCTACCGATCCCTCAGAGTTACCTAAGGATGGACTAGGAGAGAGCCAACTGACATTTTAGAAAACATCAAGTGTCAGCCGGACGGAGTGGCTCACGCCTGTAATCCCAGCACTTTGTGCGGTCAAGGTGGGTGGATCACGAGGTCAAGAGATCGAGACCATCCTGGCAAACATGGTGAAACCGTCTCTACTAAAAATACAAAAATTAGCTAGGCGTGTTGGTGTGCACCTGCAGTCCCAGCTATTCAGGAGGCTGAGGCAGGAAAATTACTTCAACCAGGAAAGCAGAGGTTGCAACGAGCTGAGATCGCACCACCTACAATCCAGCCCGACGACAGAGCGAGACCATCTCCAAAAAAAAAGGAAAGAAAAAAAAAGAGACAACATCAAGTGTTGTAAGAGGCACATGGAGTTATTTCTCTGTGTCAACTGCGGTTCTGTCCAGGCCTGCGAGACCACCCACGGGGAGACGTCCTGTGCTTACTGTAATTAATGGGTCTGCTGAGGGGATTATACCAAATTAGATGAACCACGAGTTCCCTCTTCTTTTGTGGTGAGTTTTCCCGTGAACTTACTAGACAAAGGTACCGTCAAGGTATGTAAAACCAGGCAGTGTTTCCCTTGCATTACCTTTGCCCCAAACTCCCTATGGACCATCTTTTTACTGAGACCTATGGGTTCTGATGATGTGTGGGTTGGTTTGTTTGTTTTGAGACAGAGTCTTACTCTGTCACCTAGGCTGGAGTGCAGTGGTGCCATCTCAGCTCACTGCAACCTCCATCTCCTGGGTTCAAGTGATTCTTGTGCCTCTCGAGTAGCTGGGATTACAGGTGCCCACCACCACACCCAGCTAATTTTGTACTTTTAGTAGAAACAGTGTTTCTCCACGTTGCTCAGGCTGGTCTCAAACTCCCGACCTCAGGTGATCCTCCCGCCTCAGCCTCCCAAAGTGCTGGGATTACAGGTGTGAGCCACTGCGCCCAGCTGATGATGTTTTAAACTTCTCTGCACCCGAAGCCTCAATCTGAGTGCCACAACTGAGCCAGAGTGAGCTCTCTACACTGCATCTCTTCACTCCACATCAGACAGCACTCTCAGCACCAGGCACTCAGTGCTGCCGAAGACTCAATCACTCCATCCTCACAGCATCCTCCTGAGGCTGCCTATTGCCTTCCCCGTCTCACATCTGAAGAAACAGAGGCACTGTGAGGTCAGTGACGTGCCTAGAGTTACAGAACCTATGGAGAGTGGAACTGGGATTTGAACCCAGCTCTTCAGCCTATGCTAGGCTGCCTGTCCTAGCTCACACCTAAGTCCTAGCTTCACTTTCCAAAAAGGGCCTCCAGGTACCATCTCCATGCCTTCCATCCAAACGGAGGCCCTCCCACTGTGCCCACCAGCGTGCTCCGGGGTGAAGGCCCTGGCTTGCCATACCTCGGGGATGAGCTGGAAGAGGGCGTTGGAGTAGAGGGTTCCAATCGCCAGAGCTATGAAGTAGAGCAGCAGCCTCTTGTAAAAGGTCTTCTTCATGAAGGGCACCACGCTGGCCCCCATGAGGGAGCAGAGGGAGATGACGGTCACGCAGAGGAGACCGTATCCCCACACTGCCGTGTAGAGGGAGGGCCAGCCCCACCCAGGGCAGGGAGAGAAGGCACACGCCCCATGGCACAGCAACCACCATTTAGGGGGAGGAAGGTGAGGTGGATAGGGAGGTCACAAGGAAAGTTTGGTGGATATGAACGGAACAAAAAAGAAAAATCAGAGAGAGACAAGTAGGGAGGGAGAGAGAAATAGAAAATTTGTTAGTGATTCAAATCTCATGGAATTTCCTTCAATCAGTTCAGAAGAAAGAGGAATTCAAGGCAGCCTTGGAACCCTGTGACTTCTGCTCCTGTGGCCACTGGTAGCCCCAAATCATTCCTGCCAGTGGTGTGACTGGCTGGGCAGGGTGCTGCCTCGTCACACACCCGAGGTCTGCCCAGGCCTGTCAGAGAGGCCGTTCAAGACTTTGAACTCAAGGGCTCTCTTTCATAGGACATGTGAGCATGTGGAAAGGGGCTGGGCACTCTGCTGCTGCGTTTGCTTCTGCACATCCAATTCATATTGCGCAGGCCTGGGTGACACCACGACCACTTGGTTTGCTTTGTATGAGATACAACCAAGCCAGACGTAGGGCAGAAGGGATGGAGGATGATTAACGCCCAACGCCCATAAAATTCAGTGTCTTCACCTCTCAACTTCTTTGCTTATTCCATATGCTCTGAGAGGGGCTCAAGCATAGACAACAGAGTTCCAGGATCACCCTGTCACAAAAAGATTTCTTCGAACATTTCCCAGTGTGACATTCCGTCCAGGCCCAGAAGAGGGCAAGACAAACCAGACCAGGATGAGACACTCCCTGGCAGGCTGCAGGGGCAGAGCATGCACGATTACAGTATTTCCATTCAAACAGGTCCAAAGGAATTTCATTTCAAATCTTTAAAAAATTAACATATTTCATTGCTGGAGCTGAAAAAATAGCCCAAGTTGAGGCCACTCCTGCAAAGTGCTTGTCAGATCCATGCAAAATTTTGAGATGGCACCAAGATGGTGGGCATTCAACCAGGAAGAATGGGCAAGGCATGGCAAGCCATCTGCTGTCTTTTCTTTTGTTTTCTTTTGAGACAAAGTTTCACTCTTGTTACCCAAGCTGGAGTGCAGTGGTGCGATCTCGGCTCACTGCAACCTCCGCCTGCTAGGTTCAAGTGATTCTCCTATCTCAGCCTCTCAAGTAGCTGGGATTACAGGCATGCGCCACCACGCCTGGCTAATTTTGTATTTTTAGTAGACATGGGGTTTCTCCATGTTGGTCAGGCTGGTCTCAAACTCCTGACCTCAGGTGATCCTCCCGCCTCGGCCTCCCAAAGTGCTGGGATTACAGGCATGAGCCACCGCACCCGGCCTCTGCTGTCTTTTCTGGGTCTTTTGACTGGCAAAGGTTGGGAAGCTGCTGACATGGATCTCTAAGACGGGCAGCATCCACCACTTCCTAAGGGGGTCGACCACGCGTCTGTGTATCCTCACCCCCAACAGCAGCATCCCTGCCTGAGCTAAAAAAGCGGACAGACTGTCAACTTGGGTCTTATTTTCATAGCTCCTCTGTGATAACAATTAAACAACAAAATCGACATCTCAAAACAGTGAAGTCGAGATACCAGGAAGTCAGTCCTATCAGGAAAAAGTCAAGATGCAAGGTGCGAAGGACTGAGGCCCCCTCTTCCATTTATTGTCGTTTTAATTTTGTTTGGTCTTGGTCTTTGTCCTGTGTTTGGCTCTCTATGCTTGAAATGATGGCCTGCTCAAAATTAAACAACACTGACTTTTTAGGCCAGTTCTACGTTTCAGCTGGTAACCTCTTTTCCTTCCATCTCATTCCAGATGGATAAGCTCTTGGTGCCCAGACCTGAGTACTGCCAAGATTTCTCCTTAGAATAGAGTAAGCACTGGTCAGGTGCGGTGGCTCATGCCTGTAATCTCAGCACTTTGGGAGGCCGAGGTGGGCGGATCACCTGAGGTCGGGAGTTCAAGACCAGCCTGACCAACGTGGAGAAACCCCATAGCTACTAAAAATACAAAATTAACCCGGCATGGTGGAGCATGCCTGTAATCCCAGCTACTTGGGAGGCTGAGGCAGGAGAATTGCTTGAATCTGGGAGGCAGAGGTTGCGATGAGCCAAGATCACACCACTGCACTCTAGCCTGGGCAACAAGAGTGAAACTCCATCTCAAAAAAAAAAAAAAAAAAGGCTGGGCATCCTGGCTCACACCTGTAATCCCAGCACTTTGGGAGGCTGATGTGGGTAGATCACCTGAGGTCAGGAATTCAAGACCAGCCTGACCAACATGGAGAAATCCTAAAAATACAAAAAATAATTTTGTAGGCATGGTGGCACATGCCTGTAATCCCAGCTACTCAGGTAGGAGAATCACTTGAACCTGGGAGGTGGAGGTTGTGGTGAGCCGAGATCATGCCATTGCACTCCCCCTGGACAACAGGAGTGAAACTCCATCTCAAAAAAAAAAAAAAGAAAAAAGACGTAGCTAGTGCTTAGCAGCAAAGGCATGGATGGCAGTCGATAGCTGCAGCTTTCCTTTGATGCCCTATGTATGGGGCTCAGGAAGGTAGGGGAGACTGCGAGGTCCTGGGAGGAGGGAACACTGGAAGAACCTTGCATCTGACAGCACCTGCAGAGGCCAGAGGAGTGAGAGGTGGGCCCTGAGACCCAGAGTTAGAAGTCATTGGTGGCTCTGATATAAGGGATAGGTTCAATTCTCAGGTGGCAGTCACTGGGTGCGTTGGAGCCCAGGGTAGGGTAGGAAGGGACTGGCTCAGCTGTGCTGCCCCAGGGAAAGAGGACGAGCACAATTCTGTTCTACTGCACCTCTGGGATGAGCTGGAATAGCGCGTTAGACAGCAGCGTTCCAATGGACAGGGCGATGAAGTAAGTGAGCACACGGCTGAAAAACGCTTTCTCCGTGCAGGGCAGGACGAGGACTCCCAGGAGAGAGGCCAGGTTAATCAGTGAGACACAGAGAAAACCAAAGCCCCACACTGTAGAGGAACAAGAACAGACGAGGGCCTCTATTATTGTGGGTGGGGAGACACTCCTGCTGCCTGGGGCTGGCCCGTTCTGAATTCAGGTGTGATGGGGCAGACCGAGCTCCACCAATCCATCAGTAAACATCTGCTGAGTCCATCTCTCACCAGATGCTGCGGAGAAGCCTAGGGAAGCTCTGTGAAAACTGCTATCCAAAAGAAACTCACCTTTTCTACAGAGAGACAGTTGCAAACAGCATGGAAGCTTAAAAACCATAAAAGCAGGCCAGGTGTGGTGGTACACGCCTGTAATCCCAGCACTTTGGAAGGCTGAGGCGGGTGATCACCTGAGGTCAGGAGTTTGAGACCAGCCTGACTAACATGGTGAAATCCCGTCTCTACTAAATACAAAACATTAGCAGGGCATGGTGGTGCTGCTAGTGGTGGCCGAGTAGTAATTCCAGCTACTCGGGAGGCTGAGGTAGGAGAAGCACTTGAACCCAGGAGGCGGAGGTTAGAGTGGTCACAGTGAGCCAAGATCATGCCACTGCACTCCCGCCTGGGCAACAAGAGTGAAACTCTGGCTCCAAAAAAACAGAACAAAATGAGAGAAACTGTACCAGTAAATAATGACAGCAGAAAACAGCGACTTGCAGTAACATAAACAGCATATACTCCAGGTGCCAAGAGTAGGCAGCACACGGCGGCCCTGTGGGGCTTAGGCAATCGGGGCGTACGCTCACAGCGCACGGCAAGCCCACTGCGGCTGGACCAGGGAGACTGGGATGGGGAGGGCAGGGAGGATTCAGTGGGCCAAGTGCAGTCTCCCGGAGGTCTTCAAGGTAAAACTATCAAACGAAAGTGAGCCAGGTACGGTGGCTCATGCCTGTGATCCCAGCAATTTGGGAGGCCAAGATAGAAAAAGCACTTGAGCCAAGGAGTTAGAGACCAGCCTAGGCTAAGTCCGGTTTCTACAAAAAATTTAAAAAGTAGCTGGGCATGGTAGTGCACACATGTAGTCCCAGCTACTCAGGAGGCTGAGGGAGGAGGATCACTTGAGCCCAGAAGGTTGAGGCTGCAGTGAGCTATGATCACACCACTCGACTCCAGCCTCAGAGACAGAGTAAGATTATATCTCAAAAAAAAAAAAAAAAAAAAAAAGAAGAAAGAAAATATTAAAAAAACCAAAGCACTGGGCCCCTGTGGTTCAACATAAAATAAAAAATGGACCGAAAAGGCATCCACGGGTGCTTGAAGAGTCCAACGCTCTGAACACGCACCAGCTACAGCCCAGGAGTCTGACAATGGCGAACACACAATTAACTGTACAATCATTGATCCCCCTCCTGACACTGACAAGCTCCTCCTGGATATCACTGGTTAGGCCTTCAGTGAGCAGCAGCAGCCGAGCCCCGGAGTCCTTGTGAGACAGGACGAGCTGAGACAGCTCCTGCCTTCCCAGCCTGGCTCACCTTCGACAGCGCTCGGCCGCCCCTCCTCCGTCTGCTCATTCTCCTCATTTTCCTGGTTCTCTGAAGTGCAGGCCCGGGAATCCAGCTGCTGGAGGATGGTGGGGCAGAACTCCTGGAGCTCGCTGCTCCCAATCCGTGACTGCTCGCTGAAATTGTGGGCAGCGAAGAGGTCTCCAGAACTAAAGCACTGAAACACAGGAAGGGCAGGAAGCCACTCAGACCCCAAAGATCAGGCCTTGCCCCGCTAAGTAGCAACCTATTCAGCCTTCCCAGAGGAAGAAAGAAGACAGAGAGGTCCAAATTTCAGGGATTTGTAGATTTATCTAGTCTAGGGATGAGGGCAAGGTGTCCCCCAAACTTAAAAACCTAGTAAGTAGGGCCAGGTGTGGTGTCTCATGCCTGCAATCCCAGCACTTTGGGAGGCCAAGGCAGGCAGATCACAAGGTCAGGAGTTCAAGACCAGCCTGACCAACATGGTGAAACAACATCTCTACTAAAAATACAAAAATTACCCAGGCATGGTGACACACACCTGTAATCCCAGCTACTCTGGAGGCTGAGGCAGGACAATCACTTGAGCCTAGCAGGTGGAGGTTGCAATGAGCTGAGATTGTGCCACTGTACTTTAGCCTGGGCGATAGAGTGAGACTCCATCTCAAAAAAAAAAGAAAAAAAAAAAGTGAGTAGAACCAGGCACAGTGGCTCATGACTGTAATCCCAGCACTTTCAGAGGCTGAAGCGGGTGAATCATGGGGTCAGGAATTCAAAACCAGCCTGGTGAAACCCCGTCTCTACTAAAAACACAAAAATTAGCCGGGCACAGTGGCGTACCCCTGAAATCCCAGCTACTCAGGAGGCTGAGGCAGGAGAATTGTTTGAACCTGGGAGGCAGAGATTGCAGTGAGCCAAGATCACGCCATTGCAGTCCAGCCTGGGCAACAGAGTGAGATTCTGTCTCAAAAAACAACAACAACAACTAGTAGGTAATCCTTATGGCTCAGTTAGCTATGAAAGTTACACATTATAAGCACAAGCAGCTGTAAATAAGTGCCTGAGACATTTTAAGAATGACAACATTTCTATCACTGCCACCAAGTGGCCAGGCATGGTGGCTAACACTGTAATCCCAGCACTTTGGAAGGCCAAAGCAGGAGGATCGCTTGAGGCCAGAAATTGGAGACCAGCCTGGGCAATATAATGAGAGCCCTTCTCTACAAAAAATTTAACAATTAGCGAGGTGTGGTGGCACGTAACTGTAGTCTCACCTACTGAGGAGGCTGAGGCAGGGGGACTGCGAGAGCCCAGAAGTTGGAGGCTACAGTGAGTGAGCTATGATCATGTCACTGCCCTCTAGCCTGGGTGACAGAGCAAAACCTTATCTCTTAAAAAAAAAAAAAAAATTGTCACTAGGGCATGGTTTCTAGAAAACACCATTCTGGGGCTGGGCACAATGGCTCATGTCTATAATCCCAGCACTTTGGGAGGCCAAGATAGGCAGATCACTTGAAGTCAAGAGTTCGAAATCAGCCTGGCCAACATGGTGAAACCCTGTCTCTAACAAAAATACAAAAATTAGGTGGGTATGGTGGTGCACACCTGTAATCCCAGCTACTCAGGAGGCTGAGGCAGAAGAATTGCTTCAACATAGGAGGTGGAGGTTGCAGTGAGCTGAGATTGTGCCACTGCACTCCAGCCTGGGCAAGAAAGTGAGACTCCCTCTCGAAATAGAAAAAAAGAAAAGAAGAGACAAAGAAAACACCATTCTTTGTGTGTGTGCTTGAAGATATAAGCTTCGTACCATATCTGGCTGCACGTCACAATAGCCCAGGAAGCCATTACGTTAAAACGCAGGTTCTAGCTACTTCTCTGAAGCTAAAATGTCTCGGGGTGGGGCTCCGCCAAAACGGTGCTGCTGCCCAATCAGCCCCACACAACCTCAACCATACAGGACTGCCCTCAGCCTGAGGACATGTATGTTCACAGAGGCAAGGGGAGGAAAACCTGAAGATTCAAAGTGGGCCGTGGCCAGCCAGCAGCTGCCGCACAGTTACCTTGGGAGGTGGCAGGTAAGCGCTTCTCACGAACCGTTCCTGTGAAATCTGCAGCTCCACTTCTAATTATACTGTCTACACCTACATGCCAGGCCTTTTCTGAGTTTGGTCTCACATGGGCGTATCTCTGAGAGTCAGCACTCTGACTGTGCTGCCAAAATAAGTGCCTGGGCTTCTAAAGGCCGAGGGCTGGCCTCCTGTGACCCCGAGATGCTGCCGCTGCCCTGGCAGGTACTGAGACCCACGTCACTGCATCACCTCCGGGGGCACGGGGTGCGCTCCTCCCTGGCTTTGGTGTCTGCTGTGCTCAAGTCATTCTGCATCCACACCACATGGTCACCCCTGTACCTTGCCTTTTTTTTTTTTGAGACAGAGTCTCGCTCTGTCACCCAGGCTGGAGTGCAGTGGCGCAACCTCAGCTCACTGTGACCTCCACCTCCTGGGTTCAAGTGATTCTCTCACCTCAGCCTCCCAAGTAGCTGGGATTACAGGCACCCACCACCACACCTGGCTAATTTTTATATTTTTAGTAGAGACAGGGTTTCACCCTGTTGGCCAGGCTGGTCTCGAACTCCTGACCTCAAATGATCCACCTGCCTCAGCCTCCCAGAGTGCTGGGATTATAGGCGTGAGCCACCGTGCCCGGCCTGCCCTGTCCCTTTTATCTCCACACTGCACTCATCTCAAGGGGCAGCCCGAGGACACTGCATGCATGAGCCTGCACCGATGACTCCAGCACACTCGTCTCCCCCTCTCATTTCTGCATCCTACAATTACTGTCCAACCCACAAAATGCAATGCTTCATTTCAGCACTGCTGACTTTGTCCTCTGTTGGTTAAGCTCCCCATGATGACAGTCAACTCCCTAAATATGACTCATTCTTCTCTATTGCTCACAACACCAGCACAGGGAACAAAGTCGATATATAAAGATTTTGCCGGCTGACTTATATTTGGCTGCTGCAAATAGCCCCAGAGTCTGATTAGCAGAGATAATATGGAAGAAAGAACACAGAACTGGCAGCCAAAAAGACCTGGCGTTCCAGCCTGGGTCTCTGCAGGGACTCACTGCGGGACCCTTGGTGTCCGCTCCTGTAAAATGCAGATAATTGCTGCTGCACCTGGAGGGACTGCAGGCTCACTGGGATAGTAACAGGCTCGGGAAACGGTCGACTCTGAGAAATGCTGGCCTGGGAGCTGTTTTCTCAGCATTTCCGAGTGACTCAAGTGCAGCTCTGAGGAAGTCTGTGGGGCTGAGAACCCCACTTCCGGCTGCCTTTGTTTTGTTTTGTTTTAAGACTTGCTTTGTCGCCCAGGCTGGAGTGCAGTGGCGAGATCAGGGCTCACTGCAACCTCCGCCTTGCTGGGTGCAAGCGATTCTCCTGCCTCAGCCTCCCGAGTAACTGGGATCACAGGCACCCACCACCACGCCTGGCTGATTTTTGTATTTTTAGTAGAGTTGGGATTTCACCATGTTGGACAGTCTGGTCTCAAACTCCTGACCTCAGGTGATCCATCCGCCTTGGCCTCCCAAAGTGCTGGGATGACAGGCGTGAACCACCAGCCCCAGGCTGCCTTTTATTAAGGGCATGAGAACACCTATGCGGGGCGGGGGGCGGGGGTTGGGTCAGAAAGTACTACAGAAGACTCACAATATGCGGATTCAGACAACAGGAAAAAAAGAATTGGCCTGTCCACTCTGTCTTCGAGGCTGACCTGCCTCATCCTCCCTGCTGCCAAGCTGCCAGGCTGCCCTGGGCCCACTAGACGGGAAACCCCAAGAGGCCAGAGACTGTGCTGAGCAGAGCTGCTGGCTGGCAGGGGAGTCTTACCGTGGAGAGGTTCCTGTGTCCCTGCACGTGCTGGGTGACATTACTCCGGCCCACCCCCACATCCAGGTGGTTGAGCAGGGCCTTCAGCTGCTGCAGAGTGAGGCTGTCACCCTCACCGTGGCGACGCATTAGGTCCTGCAGGAAGGAGGCAGCGCTGAGAGTGGGTGTGCCTGGGGAGGAAGCGTGGGCCTCGGGGCTGGGTATCCAGAAGCCGAGCAGGGTCAGCAGGAGGCAGCTATGGAAGGCCGGGTGCAGCAGCTTCATGGTGACTAAATGAGCCTGTGAGAGAAAAAGGCAGGTGAAGCTGAGGCCCCTCCCTGTGTGCCAGCAAGAGCACCGGGCACGTCGCCACACACTCAACACGGCGAGACTCCTTCAGTCTCTGCCTCTGCTCCTTCCTGAATTCGCCTTTGAAAGAAACCCTCCTTTTGAAAGGACAGAATAAAAACTAATAAAAAGGACAAATTCAATAGGTTTAATTAAAAAAAAAAACAGCAATGTGATTATGCTTTTTTTTTGTTGGTTTTTTTTTTTTTTTTTGAGACAGAGTTTCACTCGTTGCCCAGGCTGGAGTGCAGTGGCGAGATCAGGGCTCACTGCAACCTCCGCCTTCTGGGTTCAAGTGATTCTCCTGCCTCAGCCTCCTGAATAGCTGGGATTATAGGCACACATCACCACACCTGGCTAATTTTTTTATATTTTTGGTAGAGACGGGGTTTCATCATATCGGGCATGGTGGTCTCAAACTCCTTACCTCAGGAGATCCACCTGCCTCGCCTCCCAAAGTGCTGGGATTACAGGCATAAGCCACTGAGCCCGCCGGTTATGATTTTTCAGAAGTCCTTTTAGAGGTACTAAAATAATCACGGATTTACCATCTGATCTTGGGTCTGCTTCAAACTAATAAAGCAGGGGGTATGAGCACAGGGGTATGGATGAGGTGATCAGGCAAGAGCTGATACTCACTGGAACTAAGCAACCGGTAGATGGGAGTTCATCAGATTCTCTCTCTTTTTTTTTTTTTAAGACAGTCTGGCTCTGTCTCCCAGGCTAAAGTGTAGTGTAATGATCTCGGCTCACTGCAACCTCTGCCTCCCAGGTTCGAGCAATTCTCCTAGCTCAGTCTCCCGAGGAGCTGGGATTACAGGCGTGTGCCATCACGCCTGGCTAATTTTTGTATTTTTAGTAGAGATGGGGTTTTACTATGTTGGCCAGGCTGGTCTCAAGCTTCTGGGCTCCAGTGATCCACCCACATCAGTCTCCCAAAGTGCTGGGATTATAGGTGTCAGCCACTACACCTGGCCCTGTCTACTTATATATGTTTGAAATCCTCCAAAATAAAGCTATTAAAAAATAAACATGGGCTGGGTGCAGTGAGAGAGAGAGAAAAAAAAAAGAGAGAGAGAAAGAAAGACAGGAAGGAGGGGAAAAATAAAGAAAAGAGAAAGAAAGACAAGACAAATGAAAGCTTAAGGTAGTAAGACTGATGACGATTTTTCTCATGTTAACCATTTTTCCCTTAGTATGGTTACAATTTAATTAGTGATCTAAACAAATTATCAAGAGGGGAAAATCAGCCTCTGCTTCAAACCCAGAAGAAGCCAATCACTGCTGCCGTTTCTTCCCCAGGCACCCAGGGCTTCGACATTAATCTCAGTGAATCACACGCCCCGCCTTGGGGGCTTTGCTTATGACAGAGGAACAGCAGCAGAGGGGCTGAGAGCAGGCTTGCCTGAATCCTGGCCCAGCCACTTACCAGCAATGTGATCTTGGATAAATTCTTTCACTAGAGTCAACATTCTACAGTCACTCAAAGCAGCGCTGCCGTTTACCATAGCCTTCAGTGTCAGAAAAACCTGGCTTGAATTTCTGCACAGCTGCTTCCAAGTCACTACGGGCAAGCACCTGGCTTCCCTCTACCCTTTGTTGTATCATCTGTAAAACTGGTATCCACCTCATTAGATTACTGTGAGGATCTAACAGCATAAACTATGGCACGGCCCCTGCCAAGTACCTGAACCATATAGAAAGCACTCAGTAACATTTAGCTACAATAATTATAAGACTTATAATCACCAGGGTTCCCCCAATTCTGACTCTCTCAGCCCAAACATTAGGCTGCTAATGAAACGGTCAGGAATATCCTGTGGCCAAGTAAAGTATCTTAACTCCAGGCCCGGGGTACACATGTCACATAAGTCCCCTACTGTGACCCACAGAAGCAAGCAAGCAGGGACATTACATGCTTTAGGATCCACGTATGGGGCATGCACAGAATCTGGGGACATAAAATACTGCTCTTCAGTGGAATATATACTTTTGAGTCTACAGAGACGGATTGGGCACCAGCCACAAGGTGGTTTCAAAAGTGCTTGCTACTCTGAGATTCACAACTCTCAAATCTCCACCAAGAGACAAATGTTAAACTGTGGTGAGCAGGGTGGATCTTAGGCAAAAAATGACTAAAACCCTATTGTACAAAGAAAGTGGTTATCCATCAGAGCAGACGGAACTGTCAATGGCATGAGGTATGCTGTCCAAACAAGGGGGAGGTCTGCCTGCATTTAGAACAGAAAGGCAATGAAATGATGGAAGCAGCTAGTGTTACCAAGCACAGACCTTGCTTAAGTGCTTGACATCCCCCGTTCCTTTAACAGAAGCTGGGAAACTTACCCATGTAACAGACAAGGACACTGGGGTTCAGAGATTAGGAAACGTGACCCACAGAAGCAAGCAGCAAAGCCAGAAGTGGAACTGCCTTGTAAATCGAAGCCTGGTCTGAGTGATGTTAAATTCAGTGCTTTCTTAGCCACCATGCCCTCTTCATGAAGACATGAAAATACACGTCCTGGATCCCACAGAGATCCACAAAGTCCTGCATGTCTCCCTCTGTGCGGATCTTTCCTGATGTCTAACAGCCCCCAAAGCATCCAAACCTTGGCTTATAACGCCCTGCAATGCTATGAGGAGATAGCCCCAGGGTCCCTTTAGAGGACAGACTGTGTCACACTGTTCCTCCTCTAGGGCCATTTCAACAAGATAAACCAACCGATGTTCCCACCTCAGCTGCATTTCTCAAATTTATCTGTGGTAACTTCGAACCACGGAGCAAACAAACCCCAAAAGACTTCAGGTGTGGTAAACTTAGGGTGATTTTAGCAACTTTACCTGGCCGGCATTCACCTAGAGATGACCTTCTTTTTATTTTTGTTTTTTTGAGATGGAGTCTCAGCTGGTGCCCAGGCTGGAGTGCAGTGGCGCGATCTCAGCTCACTGCAACCTCTGCCTCCCAGGTTCAAGTGATTCTCCTGCCTCAGCCCCCACCACTGAATAGCTGGGAATACAGGTGCGCACCACCATGCCCGGCTAATTTTTGTATTTTTAGTAGAGATGGAATTTCACCATGTTGGCCAGGAAGGTCTCGATCTGGTGACCTTGTGATCTGCCCACCTTGGCCTCCCAAAGTGCTGGAATTACAGGTGTGCACCACTCACCTGGCCGAGCTGAGCATGTATGAAGCATTTGCTTTTCCCTGACCCAGTGACCCTGTGACACCCCAGGTGGCTGCCATGACAGCCTGGAGTGCTAGGGAAGAGGCACCTTCGGGCTGTACCATTGGAAGAATGAGCCCACAGGGCCACCTTTGCTTCTCCCAGGTGACCTTTTCTTCCCCGCGGCACAGCTGTTCTTTCCTCCAGGACATGCACAAACTGGGCATCAGACACCCACAAGACAGCAACCAGGCTCAGGTCTAGACCTGTCCCCATGGGATGTGCAAGTTCAGCCAACAGAGCCCTCCTGCCTGGCCCAGCACTTGAGACATGGACTCACCCCCAAGGGTTGGGGAGGATCTAGAAGCTGTGAGTGACACTCCAAATCCAAGCGACCCTGACCTTTTGGCAGGCATGAAAGGGGAGTTTTCTGCTCCAGTGGAGTTTTGTTTTCTTCTAGCTGCAAGTTATTCTTAGCAGGGAAAATGTTTGTAAAGGGTATTAGGAAGGAAAGAAGAGGGAAACACACAGCTGCTGATGCCGTCGGATAGGGGTGCAGGGGCCATGTGTGTGGCCCCAGCTGCGAGAGGAAGCTGCACTAGGTTCCATGCCACGTGTGGCCCCAGGAGAGCCACTCCAGTCCCCCTAGGGAGCTGGGCCAGCTGCCCTCGAGTAAGAAAGGACACCTTTCAGGGAAGACAGTGGGAAGGAGACAAAGTGTGCTGTGGCCTGGGAGTGCCCCCGGGCTAGCTCTTCCTGCTGGAGTCTCTCTGCCTCAGGGTCAAAGAAGTAAAATTATTTTAGTGCCCTCCTTCTCTGGCTAAGGCGCCAGACCCAACCCCGGGAGAGGTGGGAGGGAGACACAGGAGAAAGCAAGAAACGCCTGTTCTGGAACCTTCCTCTGTGGAAGCTCAGAAGTTGCCTTACTATCCGGAGGCCCCGACTGGAATTCCACCTACTGTCCGTCACCCTTCACTTGGTGCAGAAGCAGCTCCACTTAGAAGCGGCACTTCTGTCCCGCACAGATGCTCCTGTGATCTTCAGCATGATGCACTGTTTTCTATGCCCACCTCCCCGCTCCGAGAGGAACAAACATTCACTTCCGTGACACTGGCTCTAGAGGCTGGGCACAGATATAAGAACAGGCAGCAAAAACCAGCAGGGCCTCCGAGCAAATGGGCATCCACTCATCCCCTCCCCTTCCTGACCACCCCCCGCACCCGCCCCACCCGCCCCACACTGGCCAGGGAGCCCACCACTCCCGCTCTCAGATCCTGGGCGCACAAACAAAACATGAAAACTAAGCTCACATGCTCCAAACTTGCCCAACTCAGACCATTTCTGAAGCCAAGAAGTTGTGTGTCTGCCCCCTGCCCCTCGTGCACACTGTGCCTGCCAAGCACAGGCCGTGTGGGTACACAGGACATTGCCAGGGTGGGACTCTTAACTAGGGGGTCAGAGTCAGCTGTCGGGTCTGGGGTGGCGGAGGGTTTGAAGGCAGTCTAAACTGGGGTTTTATGAAGCACTTTACTTAAAATTATGAGAAGGCTGATGGTCTACACAAAGGAAGACCACAGGGTTGCAAAGGTTGGGTGAGGGAGTGGAGGGGGAGGCCAAGTAGAAGCCACACTGATAGAAATTATGTTCCCTGGCCAGGCACGGTGGTTCCCACCAGTAATCCCAGCACTTTGGGAGGCCATGGCGAGCAGATCACCTGAGATCAGCAGTTCAAGACCAGCCTGACCAACATGGAGAAACCCTGTCTCTACTAAAAATACAAAAATAGCCAGGCATGGTGGCACATGCCTGTAATCCCAGCTACTTGGGAGGCTGAGGCAGGAGAATCACTTGAACTTGGGAGGCAGAGGTTGCAGTGACCAGAGATCGTGCCATTGCACTCCAGCCTGGGTGACAGAGCGAGACTCCATCTCAAAAAAAAAAAAAGAAAGAAATTATGTTCCCCAGAGCTCTTGGTTCCACCACAGACTAGCATCAGTGAATCATCCTAAGCCTTCCCCCTACTGTCTTCTCAAAGGATGTTGAATGAACCGTCTGGGTCTCACATGTTCCTCAGGAACAGAGAAACGGGTCTGAGGTACCCACGGTCTCTGCCCATCACCCGGCTTATAAGCGTCCGGAAGTTGGTAACTACAAAGCCAGCTCCCACCACTCCCTTGGGGTTCTCTCCCAGGAAACAGCTCAAAGCTGTATCAGCCCTTCCAGCAGGGGGCTTTCTCCACTCTTCCATCTCTGCCCCACTCGAGGGCTGCGACCGCTCAGCCTGATAGGAGTGTATCTCCAGCTAGCAGATACCGGGCTAGCAGATACCAGCGGCTCAGGGTGAGTTCTCTGTACATCACACAATAGCAAAAGACCCCTGGAGCCCAGGCTTAGGGAAAAACCCTGACAAGTTGCAGACAAAGGACAAAGCCAGGCCCCTGGGTGGAAGGCGGAGGTCTCAAGGAATAAAAAAAATCCAGAGCTGCTTGTCTTGCGGACTGCGGGTGCTAGCGGCCCTGGAAGCGCTGCCTGGCAATGCAAGGCCTACTGACGTGTATCTGAAGCCCAATTTTCCGTGGGACTGCAAGCAACATATTGTTACAATGAACTCATATCCTTAGTATGAAAAGAGCAGAATAAAGGTACAGAGTTTAATGAGCATATAAAAGAGAAAGTGGATTGAAACACTACATAAAGACCTAAGATGAAAAACTGAAATGGGAGCATAATTTTCCCTCCCCTGACAATTAACAAAATGAGAATAAATTTTTAAAGAAAAAAAAAATTCACCAACAGCAACCAAACAAGGAAACAGATCTAATCTGAGATACATTAACTTCAAAACCAGAGGCAAGGGAAAAATGAAGGAGGCGCCACGCATGGCTCATATTCTATTCCCGGCCCAGCCCTGGCAACCCAAATGACAAGAGCAGAACCAGAACTCTCACTCCCATCCCCAAATGTGCAAGAGGAAGTCCTTTTCCTTTTCAATTGAGGAGTAGGAGGAAAAGCTACTGGGGAAAAGCAAAAAAAAGGGTGCACCTGGACCGAAAACAATGGGCTGACTCCCGTGGAAGGAAATAAGGGCTCTAGGGCCACATTCTGAATGGGGGACAGATCCAATTCCAAATTCCAGTGAGTATTTTCTTTCTCTCTCTCTCTCTCTCTCTTTTTTTTTTTTTTTGAGACTCTTGCTCTGTCGCCCAGGCTGGAGTGCAGTGGCACGATCTCAGCTCACTGCAACCTCTGCTGCCCAGGTTCAAGCAATTCTCCTGCCTCAGCCTCCCGAGTACCTGGGATTACAGGCATGTGCCACCATGCCCAACTTATTTTTGTATTTTTAGTAGAGATGAGGTTTCAGCATCGTGGCCAGGCTGGTCTTGGAATTCCTGACCTCATGATCCACCCATCTCGGCCTCTCAAAGTGCTGGGATTACAGGCTTGAGCCACTGTGCCCGGCCTTTTTTTTTTTTTTTTTTTTTTTTTTTTCCAATTGAGATGGAGTCTTGCTCTGTTGCCCAGGTTGGAGTGGAGTAGCATAATCTCAGCTCACTGCAACCTCCATCTCCCAGGTTCAAGTGATTCTCCTTGCCTCAGCCTCCTGAGTAGCTGGGATTACAGGCATGCGCCATCACAACCAGCTAATTTTTATATTTTTGGTAGAGACAGGGTTTCACCATGCTGGCCAAGCTGGTCTCGAACTGTGCAAGCCTGTAGTTCCAGCTATTTGGGAGGCTGAGGCAGGGGAATCACTTCAATCTGAAAGGCGCAGGTTGCAGCGAGCCAAGATTGTGGCATTGCACTCCAGCCTGGCGACAGAGTGAGACTGTCTCAAACAAAAAAAAAAGAAAAATAGAGAGAGAGAGAGAGAGAAAGATAGAAAGAGAGAAAGAGAGAGAGAGAGAAAGAGAGAAAGAAAGAAAGGGAAAACTGAGAAACACACTAAAACTTCTCTTAAACAGGAAAAAATTCAGACTGCCTTCTTCTTTCCCTTTGACTGTCTTTCAGTGTCAGAAGAGAATATAAGACTGTCAGAACATCACAATCCTGAACAAAAGAAACTATGAGCCAAGAATACTATCCCCAGCCAACACATCGTACAATTTGGTAAAGACAATAGGCAGAAATTCTTGGGTAGGAAAGAGGTCAGAAAATATGGTCCCCTTCCTAGGGAAGAAACGTGACTTAACAATGAAATGCATGTAATTAATACAGAAATGGAAATACAGACAGCTTAGGAATGCAGAAAGCATCAAAAGAGGACTGATAGTGAGCATTAAAACCCTTCTGATAAGAAATAACAAAAAATCATTGCCAGGCTATGGGTGGTGCCTCACACCTGCAATCTCAGCACTCTGGAAGGCCAAGGCAGGTGAACTGCTTGAGCCCAGGAGTTTGAGACCAGCCTAAGCAACGTGGTGAAACCCCGTCTCTATAAAAAATGCAAAAATCAGCAAGGTGTGGTGATGCATATCTGTAAGCCCAGCTACTCAGGAGGCTGAGGCAGGAGAATCGCTTGAACCCGCGAGGCGGAGGTTGCAGTGAGCGGAGATCACGCCACTGCACTCCAGCCCGGGTGGCAGAGTAAGACCCTGACAACAACAAAAAATCATTCCAGAGATTATGGTCACAGGACACAATCTAAATGTCATAAAAGTGGACAATAATATAATCAACACAATCGGGATATGGGGGAAAAGAGACATGAGAAAAAAACATGAGAATTCTGTCCTCAGTTTTCATAGTCAAGAGTCAATAGTTACTATCTGAAATGGAAAAAATATAGATCTGTTTCACAAGCTATTGACCTTACTGGAGTCTTTTGGGAAATTATCTCAGTTGTAAAAAACATATTTATTTAAAGCTTGCTAATTCCTTTAATTTTACTACAGCTTCTCTTTCTTCTGTCACATTCAGTGAAATTTTAATACTTTTTTTTTTTTTTAAGACAGAGTTTCATTCTTGTTGCCCAGGTTGGAGTGCAATGGTGTGATCTCGACTCACTGCAACCTCCACCTCCCAGGTTCAAGTGATTCTTCTGCCTCAGCCTCCTGAGTAGCTGGGATGACAGGCATGCACCACAACACCCAACTAATTTTTTATATTTTTAGTAGAGACAGGGTTTTACTATGTTGGCCAGGCTGGTCTCAAACCCAAACTTGGGCGATCCATTCACCTTGGCCTCCCAAAGTGCTGGAATTACAGGCGTGAGCCACTGTGCCTGGAAGAATACCTGGAGTAGCGTTCACCTAATATTACTGATGGCTATTTCTGGGTTGGTAGGATCTGGAGTGTTTTGGGGTTTTTTGTATTTCAACCCATTGAACCCACCAGTTGGTGGTAGGAGTACCATAATATAATGGGTGATTATTTTTGTAATTAAGGAGTTAGGCACAACTTTCTAAGTATGGCACAAAAGCTAGAACCCATGGAAGCCATCATTAACACATCTGACTACAGACCAGTTGTGATGGCTCACACCTGTAAACCCAGCACTTTGGGAGGCTGAAGCAAGAGGATTGCTTGAGGCCAGGAGTTCAAGACCAGCTTGGTCAACATAGTGACACCATCTCTACAAGAGAAAAATAAATTTAATTAGCTGGCTATTGTAGTGCATGCCTGTAGTCCCAGCTCAGGGGGCTGAGGTGGGAGGACTGCTTGAGTCCAGGAGTTTGAGGCTGCAGTCAGCTTTGACTGTGCCATTACACGCCAGCCTGGGCAACAGAGCAAGACCTTGTCTCAAAAAATCATCAAAATAACATCAATCAACTAAAAAAAAACATTGGCTATAGAAACTGCCAGATGTTCTACAAATGCTTGATGAATACACTCTCGCTATTCCTGGTCAAACTAACAATGATACAACCGTCTGTGTAAGTCCCAGTTTACGAAAGCAGAAAACCAACCGTCTGGCAGCTTGGTCATCAAGTGAATTCCGTCCTGCAGGCTTCTCCGAGGGTAGAAAGAGCTCTGAGAAAAACCACCCAGCCCATGGCCCTCCCCACTCACCCAAGGAACACCATCTGAGAAGCCACTCTCCCCTCAGACAAGCTGACCTAGGCTGACACCTTCACTCCAGCAAACAGCAAGTCTCACAGCTGGAAAGCCAAGCCTCACTGGGCCCTACCCAGGAGCTTAATCGGCTCATTCTTCCCCTGCCTCCTCCAGCCCTCCCACCTACCGCTCTCCTCCATACCCTAAAAGGATGCGTTGTCCTCTTCCAGCTCCGGCTCCCAGGAACTTCGCCTCAAGCCTCGGCACAGTCAAAGCCCACCCAGGGTGGGAAATTTCCAGACAGTGCAGGAGGGTGGCCAGCAGAGCCCACTCACTCTCCCTGTGAAACTTCGCTCTGCTGGGAAGCACAGGATGGGAAAACTAAGAAAAATAATAATAAAAAAGAGAAACTCAGTGGTGACCCAGAAGCAGAGAACAAATATAGAACCCTGAGCCTGCTGTTCACCAACTAATATTTACTGAGCCCCCATTGTGTGTGCCAGCGCTTGTGGGAGGAGGTTATGAGGCAGAGACGGGTGGTCACGGCCCCAGGCAGGCAGCACAGACAGACAGGGAATGGCTTATTTAGCCCCACGCTGAGCGCAGAGTGAGTGTAATGACAGGCAGGCCCAGGCACTGGAGCCAGGAGGAGAGAGGGAGGGAGGGAGCACATTTGCCAGGCTCGGCTGGAGCCAGAGCAAAGGGGACTTCCCAAAGCAACTGAGTCAGGTGGGCAGGGACCGGGGAAAGGCCCGCAGTGGCCAGCCGGTGTTTTCCCCACCCGAGGCCAGGGCCAGAGTCACCTCACTTCTCATCATTCACCCATCAACATTTCCCAGACAGTTGCAAAATTCTCCCTGCTGTCCAAGATCACTCCCGCCTGTCAGACCATGGGCCGGACATGCGGCTTAAGAAACACAGTTCTCACTTCCATCACTTATATCACTCCCATGAAGCAGAACTTCCAGCTTGCTATTCGGGATCAGATAAATAAATAGAAAACATGATCGAGTGGCCAAATCGTTGGACCACATGACGTGTCACACACCCCGGGTTCAACGTTGGGACCTGCCAGTAACTTCCCAAGTGTATCTGGCCAATTAAACTGTGAAAGCAACGAGCTTGCAGAGGGACTGTGACCAAGTCAGACCTTAAAGGCTGCGTGGCATAGCACCAGGGCCAGTGCCTTCCTAGTTCCCTATCTTCTGACTTCTCAGGATAACCCCTTCACTTAGTCCTGAATTCTGCTTCTGCTCAGTTACCTCCCCTTCCAGGAAGCCGTCTTGGATCACTTTTCCAGCCTTTTCTTTGGCTATTAAGACTCCTCATTACCTTTTCTTCCAGGGAGCCCCCCCAGCTAGATTTGTATTCCTTGAAGATAACTTCCTGAAATGCATCCTCTCCATTTCTTCTATGTCCTCCTCTCCTCCCTGGCTACAGCAGTGCCTGGCATAGTGCTGGGCACGTACGGGGCTAACGGCAGAGAATTTTCGCCTCCCTGCTGACTGAAGTCTGCCTGCATTGCCCCTGCAGCCTGGTAAACACCAGGGAGCTCAGAACCACCTTCCTCCTGGGCCACAGACCAACTCTAACCCAGATCATCTGAAGCCAGCTGTCGCGACCAGCTATTGCACACTTGCCTAGAAGAAACAATCCCTGACCTTGAATTTCATTTATATTAATTGAACTAAAAGCTAGCTCATTACCATGTACTGGCTTTAAAAACTCACTCCAAGAGTTTATCCATTCAACAAATACTCACTGTTTACCAATTATGTACCTGAAGTCGTGCTGGGTACTGGGGATGCAAAGGACCTCATACCTGCCCTCAACGCAGCAGGGAAAGCAAACAAGTCAACTAGGAACCTAACCTGAACGATGATGACAAGGGGAATGTATAGATCAGGGGCAGTTAGGCAATTTCAGCAGAAAGGGATTTTGTACAGGATATTAAAAGGCCTAGAGACTCCTTGGAAGAGCTGAATTAAAAAGACTCAAGTAGCTCCTGAGCTCCCAAGAGCTATTTGCAAAGATCAAGTTGCAGAGCTGGGCTGCCACCAGGCAGCTATGGCACACAAAACCACCTGCTCCAGAATCACACTGTCCCTGCCATGAGCCACACCAGGAAAACGCATGGCCCACAGTCTACCTTCCAGAAGAAAGCGTCTGGGCTCTCTCTGCAGGGCTGTTACACACTTAAGGCTGGTTCAAGGCCTGGATGTGGTGGCTCGCCCCTGTCATCCTGACAGTCTGAGGGGCTCAGGTGGGAGGATTGCTTGAACCCAGGAGTTTGAGGCTACAACAAGCTATGATTGTGCCTCTGCACTCCAGCCAGCGCCAACAGAGCAAGACCATGTCTGCTAAGAAAAAAAAAGTAAAAAATGTACAAAAGCCTTTCAGCTAGAACCACCATCTTCCAGCGATTTGCCCAAATGATGAACACAAAGGGAAAGAGGAGAGGTGCCTGAGAGATGTTCTCCAGGCCTTCTAGAAAACAGAGTTGTCGGCTGGGCACGGTGGCCTGTGCCTGTATTTCCAGCACTTTGGGAGGCCAAGGTGGCCAGATCACTTGAGGCCAGGAGCTCAAGACTAGCCTGCCCACCACGGAAAAACCCTGTCTCTTCTGAAAGTACAAAAATTAGCCAGGTGTGGCAGCGCACGCCTGTAGTCCCAGCTACTCAGGAGGCTAAGGCAGGAGATTCACTTGAACCCAGGAGGTGGAGGTTGCGGTGAGCCGAGATTGCGCCACTGCACTCCAGCCTGGGCAACAGATGAGACTCTCTCTCCAAAGAAAAACCACGGAGTTGTTATTGCAGCACGTTCTACTGTCAAAAAGAAAGAAAACATGGAATTGTTCCTTTGACCACATACATAGGAATCTATTAAGGGGATACTGAAGGCATTAGACATCAAGGGAATGGCTACTGTTTACAAAAGGAATAACCCACCAATGTTACTATGGCAAAAACATCTGCAGCGTTCCCCAGCGTGCTGTCGGCATTGCCGTAAACAAACAAGTTAAGGGCAAGATTCTGGCCAAGAGAATGAATGTGCGTGCTGAGCACAGAGAGCACTCTAAGAGCCGAGACTGCTTTCTGGAACACATGCAGGAAAATGACCAGAAAAAGAAGGAAGCCCTAGCCGGGCACGGTGACTCACATCTGTAATCCCAGCACTTTGGGAGGCTGAGGCACGTGGATTACATGAGGTTAGGAGTTCACGACCAGCATAATCAACATGGAGAAACCCCATCTCTATCGAAAATACAAAATTCGCTGGGTGTGGTGGCGCACGCCTGTAATCCCAGCTACTGGGAAGGCTGAGGCAGGAGAACTGCTTGAACCCGGGAGGTGGAGGTTGTGGTGAACCGAGATCGCGCCATTGCACTCCAGCCTGGGCAACAAGAGTGAAACTCCGTCCTTCCCCCCAAAAAAAGGAAGTGTAAGAAAAAAAGAAGGAAAGAGTGTTCAACCGAAGGGCCAGCCTGGCCCACCCAGAGCAGGGCACCGTGAGGACCAACAGTAGGGGCCTGAGCTGCTGGAACCCCTTCCCTGTGAATTCATGGCATAACAGATATGGAAACCAAAAGACACTGGACTGTAGAACGACAGCAGAGTGGTAAAAGAAGTATTAATAAATGTAAACTCCAACTCTCTAGCAGCAGTACCCTGGGCAAAATGTGCCTCCAAGGGCCTCTCACAAGAAGCTTGTGCACACCCCACCTCACCACCCCAGGGAGGGAGGTGGGCCCTTGGCAAACATGTAGCCTGTGTCCTGCTCACGTCTATCCACTGGCCCAGGACAAGCACCCTCGCTGAAGCAGCGAGGCACGCTTGGATTCCCTGGGCAGCAAGTGGCCCCCAGAAGCCAGGCCCCAGCGGCAGCCCCACTGGTGGGCCTGAAGCCAAACCACCTGCCTCCAGCCTACCCGGCCTCCCTGGTGTTCTCCTGCACCACTACCTCCCGCCCTCAAGCCCACTGAAGCCCAATTCCTCCTTAAGACCCGCCCATGCCAGTCTGCGTTGAGATGCGGAGTTGTGTGTGGTAATTTCTCCAGGAAAAGGTTCTCAAAGTGCTGTTGCTGGAACACAGCATCACCATCACCTGGGAACTTGCTGGAAGTGCAAACTTAGCATTCCCCACCACGACCAACTAAATCAGACACTCCGCGGTTTGGCCATCAATTTGGGTTTTAATAAGTGCTCAGGCGACCACGATGCACACTGAAGTCTGAGGGCCACCACTCTCAGAAACAGAGGCCGAGCTTTCTCATTCCAACTCCAGCTCTCTTAACCAACGCAGGTAAGAAAGGCCCTTCGCATCCAGCACCTGCGTCATCACTGCTCCAGAGGGCACGACCAGGGCACCAGCAGAAAAGGCAGGGGCTGCATCTTGAACTTTTGATTTCTCAGTAAGTAGAAATACTTATTAATAAAAACAAATTAATAAAGAAGCCCTATTCTCATGAGAAAGAGGGTTACCGAAAAAAAGAAAGAAAGGAAAAGCCCATATTTCCAAATTCGGTGAGAAAGGTAGACAAATGAATCATAATTCCTCCATTTTCCCTCCGGCTGTCCAAACCTCCCACACAGCACATTCTTCTGGCTCACGGTCACTGGCAGCCACCATCCCATTGCTGAAGCTAAGGCCTTCCCACATCCTCTGCTTTCTCCCTGTAGGGCTCACCACGAACCCAGAGCATCTCGTAGGATTCCAGGCTCCTGAACAGAAACACTCCAGGCCCTGTTCTCTCCTGGCCACACAGACCCTCCCTTCCAGAACCTTCTTCCCTCCCTCCTTTCATTACCGCCCCTCCCCACCCAAAGCACAACTCCCAACACTCCCCTCCCTCCAGCTCCGTGCTATGGCCCCTCTGCCTGGGAGTCAGGGGTCTCTCCAACTGGTCTCCTGCCCACCGTCACCCTTACCGGCCACTGCTCTCTTGCCTGGGCCTTGGGCTCCATCTGACAAGTTCCACCCCTCCATCCTACACCTTCCTATCTCCACACCCCTCCTGGCCACAGGACTAGGAAGTCCCCTTCATGTCAGTGGTTCACATGCGTCCCACAAGGTGTGAAGGTCCTGGGTGGAAGAAAACAGGTGTACTGCAGGACTGAGCTCTACCTTGGATCCACCCCAAACCTCCAGCACCAGTCCCATCCCCATCCACGAAAAGGTCTCACCTCCTGCTTAGTTTCAATATCATCATACAGTCCTAGAATGACACACCTAAAAAGGTGTGTCATTTTAGGCTAACTTTTTTTTTTTGAGATGGAGTCTCACTCTGTTGCCCAGGCTGGAGTACAATGACTCGATTGCAGCTTGCTACAATCTCTGCCTCCTGGGTTCAAGCGATTCTCCTGCGTCAACCTCCCAAGTAG